CCCCAAAACCCCAAAACCCCAAAACCCCAAAACCCCCTGTCTCAAAACTGTAGAAAAATTTAAAAGGTTTACAAAAATTTAACATAAAGAATGGTTTTAGAAATATCGCAGCATGAGTCACTTCTTAGTTTTCTTATCAAACTATTCTACTTCAGGAGGTAAATTTTCGCTGTAGAGATCAGGTAGTCGCTTCCAATCCTTGTATTTTCTATCACGCTCAAAGTACTGTCCATTGTACACATAGTAAACTTAATCGTCCTCTGGGTTTTTCCATTCCTCAAAGTATATTGGCTTATGAGCAATGTTGTGTTTTTCATTATATCTTCTGACATTCCTTTGCTTCTCTTCAAGTCTGTTCTTTTCATAAGCAGCATTTTTCATGTCTCCACTTTCTAATGCTCTTTAATCAGGTCTCCATCTGGTATCAGTAGGTGCGATTTAGCTCTTCATGAAATTTGGAAGATAATTGAGTTAGATCATGAATCTTGAAAATCCATACATATATTCATGCTTATCTGGTTATGGGTTCTTAACAAATATCTACTCTCGGTGTCCATTTTTTGCATTAATAATGCCAACACTATCATTCCACTTACCCTCAACTCTATACAATATTTCTTTTTTCTTGTTATACACCTCACCGTCTACCTTGAATGAGTTTGACGAGCTCCATCCTCTCTTATGATACTCGAGCTGACAATAGTCTCCAGTTTTACAATTTCTGATGACGGATTTCCCACCTAAATCTAAATATAGATTTCCGATGATCAAGTTATGAGCACTAACAGTTGGTTGTGAGATCTCATACCTCTCATCATGAGTGGTCAGTTCAATATAGATCCTATAAACAGGTATAAGATTAAGAGACTTTCCGTTGAACTTGGTTTTAGCTCTGTTATTTCCAAATAGTCTGTAGCCCTTATTGCCTTGGCATTCGAAAGCAGTTATAGGTGGGTGATGTGATACCTACTCAGCAATATATTTAAAGCTTGGAGTAATCAGTTCAAAGGTCTCACCAAGTAATGGATTGAAAGGCTTAGTGGTGTTTTTCTCAATAACTGTAAGCAAAGTTGTCGAGTAAACTGCAATGAAAGCTAATCTTCTAATGGGATCTTATTAATCAATAGCTTAATCGATTATATTATTATATTCCATTGAAGATGCGCACTTCTGTAATATATTGGTAGGATCATTGAAATAAACTGGCACTGACATTTTTGTGATGTCTTTGCCAATTGAATCCTTGATAATAGTCCAAATACTGATCTTTAGTTTAGGGTCTTTGAAGTAGGGCAGCACTTCTCTTTCAGGAGGATCATCGTTTTCCTAGTTTCCTTTTAATTCTTCATTATTTTCGAAAAGCAAACCATTTAATTTGAAAGATGAGTTTAGCTTGTGATTAGATTGTCTTGAGGGTTACCTAATAGACTCTGTAAAATAGTCTTTTGCATCATGAAACACATCCTCAAGCTCTTGCACCAATTGATTATCCTGTTCTAGCATATGCGCGGTAGAAGTTTTATTTCCCTCACCTTCATTTTTCTGATCTTATAAGCCAAACGCAGCCTTGTTGAGATACTAAGTGTAGCGAGCCACTACATTATACTCTTACTGATGATATTCGTTATCGTTTTCATCATCTATTTCCTATCCTGAATCTACAAACACATTTTCCTCATCGAAGGAAAAAAACTCCTCATTGGCCTTTCCCGACATGTTCTCTTTACGAATAAATTCAATTGGGTTTCGCTCTATCTCTTTTTCTGCGATCTCCTCTAGAATTCTGTGAAGATTCTTATTAGTTTAAGTCATAAATTCAAAGGCTTTCATATACTGGTCCTAATATGTTTTGGCCACCTCGTAAATCTTTTAGAGTTTCTCCTTGTGCTTCTTGCTTTCCAATTCCTGCTCCAAAGATTTCAAGTCTCTCAGAAACGACAAATGAGATCTTGAGGACTCACCTAATGTAGACTGAAGTTTGTAGTCCTATTTCTGCAAAATATCAGAGATCTGATTGAGAGTTACAGTCTTGACAGTCTTGATATATTTTACATTCTTTTTATCACTATTATCTACATTATCAAATCCCTCGATTCGCTTAGATATATCCTCTCCATCATAAATCCTCGCTACCCTAGTTAGTGCTTAAACCCACTGTTCTCTCTCGTTTTCATCAGCTGCCTTGAGTATGAGTTTGGCATGTGGCGACTTGATCTTGAAGACCTTCTTGCTTTTCTTGTCTCTAGTCACTACGGCGTCACGCATGTCAATACTATAAGTGAGATCTTTACCAACTTTCTCGCATTTTAGAATGTTATCTTGGAATGTAAAGTTGTATTTCTTCTGGTATCGCTTGAATATATTGCCCCTCTTAAGCAGCTGTCCATGGATTATTGGATGCTTGGAAGGAGATAAACCTCTGGTAAGCGAGGTCTATTTTGCATAGTAGTTTAGAGTGTTGCCGCTTGGGTTATTGTTGTTTATGTTGTTATTGGAATACATTAAATAATTTTAATATGCTAATAATTCTATGTCAAATTATTCAACTATTATTTTATTTCATGGGGTTTTGGGGTTTTGGGGTTTTGGGG